AATTATTGAAAAATATCGAAACCTAGCTGTATTTTTTATTAACTATGGTATTTATTTATTTATTTAATTTATTTTTACTGAAAGAAAATGCAAATTAATTTTGTAGTGACTAATATGCAAAAATAAATGATGAAAATTCTAAAAATTATTGAAAAATACTCATATTCAAAAATTACTGAGTAATAATGAAAAAACACCAAAAATTAATTAAAAATCCAAAAATTATGAAAAACCTAAAGCTTAATTAAAATACTAAAAATAATTAAAAAATAAATTTATTTTATTTTATAGAAAATTACTGAATAATAATGAATAAAATAATGTATTTTAATTATTAATAGTAATATATTTAACAATAATTATTTTTAAACTGTAATTAATAGTAATTATAATTTAAGCTATAAATAGTAGAAATTACAATTAATTACCAAAAAGTTATATTTAATAACCAAAAGATTACATTTAATTAGTTTTAGCCAAGAAATTAGCAATATTTCTGAAAATATGATAATTTCCAAAAACTATTGTATTTTAAATAAATACAGTAATTTAATAATTACAATATTTTAATAATCAATAATAAAAAGTAACAAATTGTTTATAACTTAACCTAACCCAATTAGATCTATAAATTTGCAAGCTCAAGCAATTATTTTCTTTTGAGTTATGTCTAGCTGAGATATGCACCATGCCCACACATTATTAGGGATAATCAAATTCGAAGTCTAATTGGGTATCAAACTTTTGGAATCCAATGATGGCTTTAGCGGATAGGGTCCAAGCTAAACAACCCCTAATAAACTCAACTTGGAAGTTATATGCATATATGGTAAATATTATTATATAACATTTAAATAACAAATTTTATATTAAAATATATATAAATGTTATATATTTTTTTATACTGGACTAGAATTAAATAAATTTTTTAATTTGTAAAAAATCATAGTTTTATAATGAACACAAGCCTCTTTATCAACAAAAAATGTGCAAGTCCGACCCCGAGCCCGGCCCGACCACCGGGCCTAGATCTTGAGCCCGAGCTCAGCCCTTATATAAAGCCCAAAGCCCGACCTATACACAAACTGTCTTATTTTAAGTAGACTTTTATAAACTAATATTATATTAATTTATTAATAATTTAATAAATTAATAAACTAATTTATATTTCCTAATAGTAAATTGATATTTATTAATAATTTAAGAAGTATATATATATAAGTACTTTTTTATATATGTAATAGTATCGAGTCGGGCTTATTTGAGAAAGCCCGTCTCGATACTACTACATATATAATATATATATATTATATATAACATAAGTACTCTTTTATATATGTAGTAGTATCGAACCGGGTTTATTTGAGAAAGCCCGAGCTCTGAAAAATAGCGGGTTAGGTTGGGTCGGGCCGTCGGGCTACATGGCCCATGAATAGGTCTAATTGTATATATAAACAATTGTATACATCAAAAATCATATGAAATAAAAATTTAAACGTCTTTTTCAATTTTTTTAAAAAATGAACCTTTCCTAGCTCGGCTTGGTCCACGGCCCGGCCTGACCCAAGGCTTTGCCCAACACGACCCAGTTTACAACTCTACTTGAACCTGCCCAATACTGGGGACGGGGCGGGGAAATTCTAGGATTCCCCATCCTTGATGAGTGGGGTGCCTTGCCCTTGAACTCGCCTGACATTAAGGAGTGGTTGCCTTGCCTTGAACCCGCCTGACACTGGGGACGGGGCGAGGATGAGGTAGAGTGTCTTAACTATGGGGTACGGGTAGGGATGGGGTGCCCCACCTTGAACCCACCCCGTTGTCATTCCTATATAATTGTTAATTATTAGTGAAATTAATAAAAATATTAGCTTTTGTAATTATTTTTATTTATTTAAAGTTAATCAAAATTTCATTTAAAAATAATAACAATTATTAAAATTACTATAAATTATTAATAAAACTAAATTTATTAAAAAATGTTTGTTCATACTAAATTAACAATAATTATTTTCTATAAATCGACATTAAATGAAAATACAATTATTAAAATTTTAGATATTAACAATAACTTTGAATACTTTTAGTTAATTAACAATAAATTTTGATTATTAATTTAATATTAATTAATAGTAAATAAAATTATTAAATCTTTCAGATTTTCCCGTGTACCGCACGGGTCCCCGCTAGTATGTGCATTATATGCAAAGCTAGTGATTAAACCATCTCCCATTTACCGATCTCCTGTCCCATTGTGCTTTGTGTTTGGGAGTACTTCTGCTCTCTCTTTGGTTGCAGGTGGGTTACTCCTCAAGATGTGGTATGCTCATTCAGTCGCAACTTCCTGAGGCAACCAAAAAAGAGAGGGAGAATTATGTGGAGGGAAGTAAGGGCAGCAGTTGTGTAGACTGTTCGGGAAGAAAGAAACCAGAAAATTTCCAATGAGAAAAGCATATCAAAGGAGGAGATGATAGAAGGTATAAAATTAGAACTGCACGCTAGGTAAAAAACACTAGAGATCTTTTGAATTTTCTCGGTAAATGATATAGTAAGAACATGGTCAGAAGTGGTGCAAACAGAAAGAGGAAAAGATAGGGTGAGCATGGTATGGAAAACCCCTAGCAGATAATAAATTAAAACTGAATTCAGTAGCAGCTCTTTCGGCAATCTGCAGAGAGCAGGTATAGGAGGTGAGAGTGTGATCAGAGATCCCTCAGGTATGGTGGTGGCCATGTTCTCAGGACCAATTGGAGTAGGTGATTCAGTTGGAGCTAAACTGCTGGGATTGTTGCAAGGACTAAGGCTAGTGAAACAGCTTGGAATCCGGAACTTGGAAGTGGAAGGGGACACAAAACTGGTCATATCTTGAACAAGGAGAAGTAATTCAACACCTTGGGAATACAACCAAGCATTCAAGGAGATAGATTATTTACCAAGGGAATTCAACACTACATTTAATTGGGTTAGAAGAACTGCTAATGGGAAGGCAGATGTGCTAGAAAAACAGGGGAATAATAGGCAGCATTCGTTTTGGGCTAAATGTAAACCATTTCTATTTGGGGATTGTTGGAACAGTCAGACATTTTAACTTGATTTCCTATTTTAATAAATTTTGAATTTCCTTTGCTGATAAAAAAACAATAATTAGAATTAATAGGAGTTCATTATTTCATTAAACAACCTGTGGGTGTGAACAGATATGGAGAAATTGGGTCAAACGGCAAGAAAGAATAGAATGCAGTGATTTTTTTTTTTTTGAGAAGTAATGGAATGCAGTGATTTAGGCCAAAGTCAGCTTCATGTAAAAAATATTTAGTACAATAAAATTTTATCAACAGAAAAGAAAAGGTGATACATTGAATGGGCAATAAGAAATCAACCTCAATCAAAACCTTTGAATTGAACACAAACCTTCACTCCAACCAAGTTTCACTTCTCACAACTCTTTTTAAATTGCATTAAAAGATGCATAATTACAGAAAGAACTTTAAGGCTCAAGAAATTAGAAGCCACTAGCAGATATAGAAAGGGATAAAAAGCAACCCTTGCATATCCTGTATGATAAAGAGAAACCAAAATCCTACACCCACAGCTCCCCTCTGAAGAAATTATAACCTCCAAGGCAACCCACTCAACACCAAACAAATGAGATCAGAATTTCCAGTGCCCCTAGATAGCCCAACTCCTATCCCTCCATCTCTTCCTCTGCCTCTGACAATCCTTACCATCTCTTTTGTAAATGTGATCACACCTTTTGAAACATTTTTTTATTAAAAAAACAGCTTTTCCAATAACTGTAATTTCATTATTTATAACTTATAAACAGAAAATGTGTATTTATAGAATATTAAACAACTCAATGACAGACTAGTATATACTATCCATCCCCCATAAAAATTAATTTTACAAGACAGCCCAAAACATGTGATTCCTGTTTACCCCCTGTTTGAGAAAAACATCAGCCATGCTATTGGCCAATCTCTGTACCCATTCGATGGTAGTTTCTAGATTCCTAGTCAATCATTTGATTTCCCTGAATTCTTGTCTGTAGGTCCACATAGCCTTCTCTTCATGATTTAACCAGCTGATCACCACTACCTTGGAGTCACCTTCAATGATCAATCTAGCGATATCCATTTGTTTTTCCAATGAAAAACAACTAACAGTTCTGCATTTATGGAATCCCTGACACCTATTGGACCTTACAGCTCTGCCTCCATAGCTCCATATTCATCGCTCAATACACCTCCTACTCAAGTGTCCCAGAGGTTACCCATGCTTCTGCTAACAGAGTTGGGATTTATACTTTATAGCACCTCTAAGGAATGGATGCCAAAGCTGTTTCACTACTGTCTTTTTTCGAAGAACCTGTCACTTGCCCCCAGTTACAAAGAATATCATCAGTAAAGAATGGCAAGAAAATACTCAAAGGGTTCACCTAATGTACTCAAAAAGTGCCTCTTTTCTTCTTAATCTTTGAAAATCCATGTATTTCTTTCTTCACATGCCCAAATGGTTGCCATTCTGGTGCATCTCCAACATAATCCACCCTCTCTTCCTTGTGCCTCTCCCCAACACATACACCCATGAAGCAATAGCCTGGATGCAGATTTCTTCTGCCTCTCCCCAAGGTGTAAGCCTTTTAAAACAATAGTCTCTTGCACTCAAAGAGGTCAATGCTTTTTCCAATGTTTGTATTTAATTGGTAACCTGTTTTGCGTGCAGAGGGAAGTGCACAGTAAATTGAACAGTTATTATTTTTCTCTACATCCCTTTAATTAATAAAACTTTGATTACACAATAAAAAAACTGCAGAAAATACAACTAGAAGACTACAAGTGAATAACAAAAAAGCTGAGTTGAGCTACACATTGTAAGCAAACCTGATTATATCTTAATCACCAGGAGACACCCAAAACAAAACTAGAAGTACAACAAAAAAAGCAACTCAAGCTAGACAACTATAAGTAAAACTGACTGTTAACAATGATTATCAAAATCACCTGGAGAGCCTCAAAGCTGACCGTTGGATGCATGTCTCGTTCAGAAAATTTAAGTATAGCCAAGAGGACACCTTTCTTCCCTTCATCATCAAGAAAACCTGGAATGTACAAGTTTCTTGCATCATACTAAACAGTGAAATCAACCATGTATACAATTATAGCATAGGTATTGAAGCTTCTAAAACTCTTGATAAATGAAAATCCATGAGTTTTAGAAGACAGGTATTCTGTCCATTGACTGTGATCACAAGGACTTTCTGCCACTCAGAGGAAAAATGGATAATTTTCCATCCGATGGAGACACTATGCCTTAGCCCCCACGATATTAGCCATATATCCACCCACATTATTTCCCTCTTGTCTAAACAGGATAGATACAAGAGGCCTCATTGGAAAGAGTTGAGAGAAGTGAATGAAGAGTAGAGAGAAAACATGAGTAGAAGACAGGAATTCAGGAAAAAGGTAAAAAACACTCATGCATCATATCTGTCTCTTCGATTCATTCATTATCTAAGTAACAAAACAATGACAGAGTTGTCCCTATTACAGTTTAACACACATTATACTAAGGGCTATTATCTTAAACACCCCTTCACATTTCTGACTTCCTCTTAAGGCTTCATTCGTTTTTCAAAAAGCTATTTGTCTGGGTAAGTTCACTTACCGGGGCAAGTGTTACCTGGGAAGCACTTACCTGTGTTCTTTTGATTCTCAAGTACATTATACAATGACTCTTTTATCATAAAAAGTCATTGTTGGAATGAACAAAACTGTCCCAACACGTTTTGTCAACTTTTCCCCCAGGTGGGAAAGTTACTTACCCACCTGGGAGATGAGTATCACTTACCTGGATAAGTGATACCTAAGGAAAGTGATTTTTCTGTGGGTCCTACATGAACATGAAAAACGGACATGGAAAAAGCAATCAATGGGAAGCAAAATCCCATTGACAGACTTCCCCCTCCCCTTTCAAAATCCGAAAAATGAACAGGGACTACGTCTTAAACTTACCCTAACTTTTTGCTACCTCCAAAGAGCCCCCTGTCAAAAATTTTCCATTAGAAAACAGATGATTTTTGCAAGAATCCAATCAGTGATTTAAAAGGCGCACAAGCGAGGCACATTTTGGGATATGCACCTCGCCCAGGTCCTAGGCACACCCCTTTCAAAAGGCGCACAACCTTTTTAAATGTTTGCACTTTTTTGCTGTTTTTTGAGTATACCAGCTGGGCCAGGGGCTCTGCCCCCGAACCCCGACCACACCCCTCAAGGCAAGCCCGAACAAGTCTATGTTAGGGTCTGAAATTCTTATTTCTCACATAAAAAATAATGATTTTATAACTTTCATTGCCTTTTAAGAAGATATTTTATTGCAATGAATTAATGAACAACATTAGGCTCCGAGAACCCCTTATTTGTTAATGTTGTTCATTCATTCATTGCAATAAAATATCTTCTTAAAAGGCAATGAAAATTATAAAATCATTATTTTTTATGTGAGAAATAAGAATTTCAGACCCTAACATAGACTTGTTTGGGCTTGCCTCAAGGGGTGTGGTACAAAGGCAACTCATAGAATCAAGAATGCAATATGTTTTAATTCACATTAGCTACTGGAAGCAATGCAATTAAGAAGAAAAAGAGATTGTGAGTTTTAGATGCTTGAAAATGCTTTATATGTTTGCTTTTATTTTTAAATTTTCATTTGAATACGCTTTACATGTTATGTTTATGTATTTTAATTTTAGATAATAGGTTTTTAAAACATTTATTTTAAAATTTAAGTTTATATTTTTTATTAACATTATGTTTAATATTTTTTGCATTTTTTTTTAATTTTTTGCATTTTTTTTAATTTTTTGGCATTTGTTTTTAAATTTTATGACTTTTTTTATTTTTTAGTTTTTTTTGTAATTTTGCGCCTTTCTTAAAAAGGCGCACGCCTCACCTTGCACCTCAGGCACAAATTGGCCCTTGCACTTTTAAAACATTGAATACAATGATGTCCCTCTATTCATTTTCATCCTTTAAACAAAAAAAAAAATCCAAAATTAGGCCTACCATTCAAAAATCGAACTGTTTGTGGGTTGTGAAATGAGTGAACATGAAATAGGCAATGAAATGGGGGAAAGGAAAAGATAAAGGGTTCCCTAGAATCAAACATACTTCACATACACAAATTAGTAAAACATAAAAGAGCGTAGGTTCAATTTCCACTTCCAAGCCTCAACACTTGATGCACTTGAAAAGGCATAGGTTCAAATTCCACTCTAAATGCATGATGCACAACTCACCAAAGTAAGCACAGATGCATACCTTCAAAGCACCACATACCAATTACCATTCATCAACAAATCTTGGTCACCCAACTTAACTAGGTCTAATCTCTTCTCATGGATATCCTCTTTGAGAAGAGAACACCTTCACTATCCATGAACACTTAACAGCCAATCATTGTGGTTGTTGCGAAAGAAAACAAGAAGATAGGAGGCAGAAGGTTCTACCTCCCTTGAGAAACCCTAGATCAATTCCCTAGGGCAATGAAACAAATACTGCTCTGTGGAGAATTGTAGAAAAGATGAACGATCAAACTTAAGTGCAATTATATATAAAAAAGAAAGCTGCAATGCCAATAACTAAACCCCCATACAGGCTATAAAACTGCTGACTTGCTAGAATGACAGTGAGAGAGAAGAGAAAAAGAGAAGGGAGAAACAATTGGACAAACAGGAAATACTAATTGCTGACCCAATCAGTTTTATTATATATAAAATGGCAAATTAAAATAACTAACACCCCCATGCAGATTATGTAACAACCTACTCACTAAAATGAGATAAATAAAGCTTCAAAAAAAGACATCAATAGTATATTCTATTGATGGCAGCTGTAGAGCAATCTCTGGCCAGATTCCGGTGGCTGGCATCAGGGGAGTTATTCTAAACAGAGAGGGCTCAGTGATTTGGGCTTACAGTAGTCCCGCTGGTGCAGTAGATGCTTCTGAAGCTGAAATCAGAGCATTAGTGATTGGTCTGAGAACTGGTAGATCGCTTCAGCTTAACTCTGTTCTCATTGAGGGAGACTCTAGGAATGCTATTAACTGGGCCTCCAATCAGATAAGTGCCCTTGGAGACTAGGCCACTTTCTCAATGAGATTTCTGAAGTTTCTTCTTCTTTGCATTGTGAATTTATATGGATTCCATGGGAGCTGAACTCAATTGCGGATCATTTGGCTAAATCTGGGGTGGATAGAACCTTTTTGTATAGTGCACACACTTTGCCCCCTTAAGTGGGGTGTCTCTTAGTAGGGCTGTTTTGTTTGTTCTGTTTGTACATCCCCCCCCCCCTTTTTTTTGCCCTTTTGGTTAATATAACAGTTACCTTTTTTCAGAAAAAAAAAAAAACAATATACATCAAAAAGGGACAAACCTTTTGATATTTCTTCCTGAAGCATTTCTTTGACTTGAAAGGATGGAGGTGAGGTGGAAAATGCTGCTCCCAAGCAATTAAGAGCAATGGCCTACCAAGAGAGTTTCAGATATGATATTGACATCAAAAACATATCCAAACATATCAAAACCAAGCAGAACTAACCAGAAGACCAGTCTGATCAATTTTGAACCCCTCCAGAATCTGTGTTCTAAGAAATGAGATAACAGCTGGCAACAACACCCCAGGCAATCGAGCATACCTGTGTGAAGATCACAACCAGGGCAACAAGAAAATTACAGACCTCATATTGGAACAGAGGTGGACAAAAAATATAATGAAATAAAGGCATTTATAGGTGCCTGTACGTATGTATGGTAAGTCATAAAGACAAAACCAATGCTATAGACTCAGTACATCATTGTAAAGGATCCCCAGAGAAACATAAGAAAAATGTATGAGGGGAACAATTGTTATGATTTAGCTTCGGTTAGAAACATAGTTATAGGCTTTTGTGTTCTTGGTTAAGTGTACAAAGGGCTTTCAAAAGTGTCCAGCTTTTATCTTTTTCGCAAGGTGGACCTTTCTTTCATTGAGTCTTTTTGAATATTCTCAATGTACAGTCTCTCTTTGTATATGGACTAATGCATTTGGTTTTCATTCTTAATACAATTGAATACTTTACGCTCTTCAAAAATTAAAAAAAAAAAAAAAAGGATTCTGTAGACATGCCACATGATTCATATAAAGCTGATGATAAGTTAATAAATCAAGTAGGATAAACACTAGATAATATATTCAGAAGAGAAATCATACGGGGTCGCTGAAATCAAAAGCAAGAGAACTTTAAAAACAGATGCCAGTAATCCACTATGAGTTTCCCGCTGGAGCAAATACAGTATACCTGTACCACAAATAATGAACAGAAATGGACAAAGTCTGATGTAAAAGAACAAGTAAACAAGTAAAAATTTCCCCATCCTCTCTCAGTAAAAAGAAAAAGTAAAAAAAAAAAAAAAGAGAGAAAAAGAAAAGGATATAAAGAAAAGAAAGGAACATCCCCATAAAGAAAGATGGTGTCTTTTAAATACCTGTATGAAGTTGCATTAGTATTTGACCAAGGGAGCTTGAAAGTGGGGTAAATGACCCACATCTAGTGGATTCCTTGTATTCAGCTACCTGTAGAAAAACGGACGAAGGCCTATCCAACATGACAGCTAAAGTTGAAGCAGATGCAAGGCGTACCTATACAACAGAGAGTAGCATCTGTAAGGTGGTTGCAAAAAAGGACTATGGCAATCAGGCAACCATGATAATGATGAAAATAATGATAATAATAATATTAATATTAATAGAAAACATTCTCCATAAACTATGACCCAAGAATGATTTAAGGTGCAGGAAAAAATTAAAAGATGAAAAAAAATAAAGAAAACACACCTTCAATTTTATATGAAACTTTTGGAGAGAATAATTAAGCAAAGGCTAATGACATAAAACAAAGTACACCAGAAAACCAATTTGGGATTGTGTCAGGAAAATCAACCATGGAAGCCATCTTTTTATCAAGACAAAACGATTGATAAAAAATTTTAAAGAAAAAAAGAGGATCTCAAGATGGTTCTTGGAAAAGCATAAGAAGAGTCTCTATAGAGGTAATATGTTGGGCCTTGGAAAAGAAAGAAGTCCCAAATAGGTAGGTAGACCTAATTAAAGACATGTATGAGACTATGAGGGTGCAAAAATCAATGTTAGAACACTTGTGGGAGAGCCATCAGAATTTGCAGTTAAAACGGATCTTAACCAAGGTTCAGCACTCAGTCCTTATTCATTTGCACTAGTCATAGATGAATTAACTAAACATAGTCAAGACTCAAGAGGAGTGCCATGGTGCTTGATGTTTGTTGATGACATAGTAGTAATTGATGAAGCTAAAGGAATAAATGCTAAATTATGTTTACGAACAACTACATTAGAAACAAGAGGTTTTAAAATAAGTAGGACTAAAACAGAATATATGCAAAGCAAATTTAATGATTATAGCAGTGCAAACAAAGGTACACTTAAAATTATTGGAGACAAAAAGATAACCCAATATGACCTCTTTCGTTACCTTGGTTCAATAATCCATAAATGGATCAAGAAAGGTGATGGAAATACCCGTTTTTTCATGATCTAGCAAATGGAAGGAGGAGAAAAAAAATTTGTGACTAAGCTTGAGATAGAAGGGGAGGAGGTGATTACCAATTAGGAGGAAATAGCTAGGAGTTTTGTGGATCACTTCAAGTCGAATTTTAGAAGACCCTTGAATCAGAGAATATTAGTGGAAGGAGTGGATTGGCCCTGACTGAGTGCTAAGAAGGTAAGCTGTTTGGAAAGAAATTTTGAGGAAGAAGAGATTAAACAAGCAATTCTTTTGATGGACAGATCTAAAGCTCTGGGCCAAGATGGCCTTACAATGGCCCCCTTTCAAGAATGTTGGGAAGTGATAAAAGATGATTTTTATGAGGTCTTTGAAGAATTTGCAAATAAGCACATAGTAAGCCTTGGAGTCAATGCTATGTTTTTGGCCTTAATCCCCAAAAAAGCCTGAGGCTAGCCACCCTAAGGACTTTAGACCAATTCTCTCCCTGGATCAGGTGGACTCCCCCTTTGAATGTGCAAAGCCTATTCACTTCCATGCCCAACTGCCCAACAAAAAGGGCAAAGATCATGTGGAGATGTGCAAGGGCTGCAGTATGTTGGACTGTTTGGGAGGAGAGAAATTCACGGATTTTTCTAGATAAAGAGAGAAGCTTGGAAGTAATACTGGAGATTATTCACATTAGGGTGATACATTGGTTAAAAACTTTGGAATTGTTTGTTGATTTCTCAGTTGATGAGATGCTAAGGAATTGGAAGGAAATTGCATAATCAACTTCAGCTAAGAAAGCTTCAAGTTCTTGTTGGACCCCTCCACCTCGCAGCTTTATCAAACTGAACTTTGATGGCAGTAGTTTGGGCAATCCAGGGCCCTCCAGAATAGGGGGAGTGATAAGTGATGAAAAAGGGAATCTGTTAGCTATGTATTCTGGTCCAATTGGGGTGGGAGATTCCTTGAGGGCTGAGATACTACTAGGAGCTCTTGAAGGGGTATAAAGGGTCAAAAACATGCATATTAAGAAATTGATCATAGAAGGTGATTCTGAAATTGTAGTGAACTAGTTAAAAGAGGACAATTCCAAGCTCTAGAACTACAGCAATGAAAAGAAGAAATTTAAGTGGATGACTAAGGACACTGAAGTTAGTTGTACATGGGTAAAGAGAAGTGCAAACGCATTGGCAGATGGTTTAGCTAGGCAAGGGGTGAACAGAAACTCTATTTTTTGGGCTGTTTTGTAATTGATTTACAGTTTGGGTGTACATTGATGTATTAGGGAGTTAAGATTCTTTAGCTCCTTAGCTATGTAATTTCTCAATCTTTAATAAAATTCACTGTTATTGATCAAAAAAAAAATTAGCTAAGGTCCTTTATCATTAGCCAAGCTCAAGGGGCTTTCATACAAGGAAGACAAATAGTAGATTAGATTCTGATTACGAATGAATATGTAGAGGAAATGAGGAGATCTAAACAGAAAGGATTTGTGTGCAAGTTGGATCTTGAAAAGGCTTATGGTTTGGTGGATTGGCAGTTTTTGCTGGAGGTTTTAATCAATTTTTCATTCAAGGAAAGGTGGTGTGTATGGATGTTTAGTTGTTAAGTCGTTATTCTATCCTAGTTAATGGAGTAGTAAGGGACTTCTTTCCTGCTTGTAGGGGTTAGGCAAGGGGGTCTACTTAGCAAACTGATCTCTAAGACTGATAGAAAAGATGTTATAAGAGGTTGGAGAATAGGTAGAAAATGGAACTCCAGTTACCTACCTTGAATTTGCGGATGACCTAATAATATTCTGTGATGTGGGACACATAGGAAAGGTAGCAAATCTAAAGGAGTTTCTTAGAAGCTTTGAAAAAGAATCACAAGTTGAGAAGTAATCTAGAAAAGAGCTGTATAGCAGGGGTCAATTTGGAGGCTAGGGAGATTGAGATTGTGGCAGAGAGTTTAGAAATTTCCATCTCTTTCTAGCCTTTACCTATCTAGGGCTTTTGTTATGGGCAAACCCTAGGGAGAGTAGATTTTGGAGCCTGGTGTTAGAAAAATTTGAAAATTTAGCCTCGTGGAAAAAGAACTACATCTCCTTGGGTGGTAGGATCACTTTGACAAGAGCCACACTTTTGAATCTGTCCACCTATTTCCTATCTATTTTTAGGATACTACCTAGGGAAGTAAAAGTTGGAGAAATTGATGAGAGATTTTCTTTGGAAATTGAGGGAAAGTAAAAAGGACCTTTTGATCAAGTGAGAGATTGTGTGTAAGAGTAAAGAGGAGGGGGCCTTGGGGTTAGGTAATGTGCACAAGAGTGAAGAATGTGATTCAAAATAAAATGACTATGGTGTTGGCCACAAAGGTGAGACAAACTTTGGCACATAGTTGTCAAGGTGACGCCTAGGTAATAAGGCATTCTTGGAGGGTCACCTCGCCCAAACGCCTACATATTTATATGTAAGACACCACACAATATTTTATATTTTTATTTTATGTTATTAATGAGGTTCAAAGTATCGGAAAGCAAGGTGTATCGAAAAGGTAATTTTAAGAGATGTATCAAGATACGCTTTGGAAACACATAGATATGAATGAAAAATCAAGATACACTAGAAAATCCAAAAAAATCCTTAAAAAATATGAACAACAATAAAAATGAGTTTTATGTGATTATAACTAATTTATTTAAACATAAAAACCCTTCTCTAATGATCTACATAAAGTATCAAGATATAATTAGTAACACTTGAAAAATAATAGAAGAACTAAAATGTATGTGTGTATATATACTAATATTTATTAGTTAATATTTTTTTAAGCCATTTATTAGTTATTATTTATTATATATAGATTTAGATAATATTTATTATGTATACAAGTTAATATATACCTTAATTTTTAATAAATAAATATAATTTGTATTCATCTTATTATTATATAATTTTTAATAATCAAATTTTAGCATTTGTTGGGAAACATCCACCAAGGCAAGAAAGATTACTTTTAAGTATAAAAAAACATGTTATGATAAGCAATTAGGTTGGCATATTGGTTAATTAATTATTGTTGTAAGCAAATGACTAGGGTTCGAAACTTGTTACCTTCTGTTTATGATTTTTAACAAGTTATTTGACTAAATAACATTTAATGACATATTAAATGCCTTAATCAAAGGTAACTCAAATGAGCATTTAATTAAATAATATTAGCATTTTTTTATCAATAACAGAATGCTATATTAAAGGCTTTAAATAATTTAATGACATATTAAATGCCTTTAAATTAATGACGTCTCAAATTTAAAGGCTTAATTAAAATTGATATTAATGAGAGAGAGAAGAGATTAATTAAATTTAAATTTGAATTTAAAAAAGAGAGGGAAATTAAATTAAGCTGATACATAATGTGTATCAGCCCATTTTGGGATTGTATCGGCCGATACATACCCGAAACGGTCCGATACAAGGACAATACGGACCCGTATCAGTTCAATACGGACGAAAAATTACAAAACTATCTAATTGTATATATTTCATGTATCAGAACTCTTCTGAAACAATATGTATCAGCCGATACGGGCTGATACGTTGCGATATTTAAAACCTTAGTTATTAATAGTAGTACAATGGATATTATTAGACTAAATTATTCATATTGTGGGTTTATAGTATTAATATTGCTATTCTTATAGTAGTTTATTTTTGTTATTTTCTTATTTGTTTGGGTTCAATCAAGATTCAAGACACAAGTTAGTAACAAAGTCTTGAACCCTTTAGGACTTTTAAAACATGAATTGGTAAGTAAAAAATAACTATAAGATCCAATTGACACACAAGAACAAGAACAATCAATAGGACTTCTTCTTCCTAGGACCAAAACAAGGGCTCAACCTTTATGTTTTGTACATCTCTTTCCTTTCTTATTTTCCTAGTCATACATATGTTAACTTTAACTTTTTTTTTATTGGAAACGGTAACTTTCATTAAGGATATCAAATAAACATCTTACACTGTCAACCACTCAGACAAAGAGTGTTGACCCCAACATAACATCAAGAGTTACAGTACAGCCCAAAAAAAGTTTGCCCTGACTGTCCCCTATTTTGCCAAGCTATCTACCA